AGCTGAGGTTGCAGAGAATCTCCAGAGGTCATCCAGTACAGCCTGGGTCAAAGCAGGGTCAACCAGAGCAAGATGGTCTAGGCAATGTCCAGTCAGACACAACTCCACCATATCAGACATTGTCTAAATGAATTTGTACTCACTGTTCAGTTATGTGGTTTAACCCCAACAGCAACTGAGCAGCACACAGCTGCTCTCTCACTTTGCCCCGCTCTGGTGGGGTGAGGGAGAATGGGAAGGATGAAAGTGCTTTGAGGTAAGAACAGTTAAAGAATTAGAGAGAAAAAACTAATACTAGATACAAAATATAACAAAAACATTGTAAGAGAAAAAAATAGAGAGGAAAATAAAGCCCAAAAAAGACTAGTGATGCAAACGAAAACACCATCCCCAGCTTCCTCTCTGGTGGAGAGGGGTGAGAAGCAGAAAAACCCTCTGTGTAAGCTCTGCTCAGCAATAACTAAAACATTACTGTGTCATCAGCACTGTTCAGCACAAATCCAAAACATAGCTCCATACAAGCTACCATGAAGAAAATTAAATCTATCTAAACTAAAACCAGAACACTCATAATCTGATAAGATACATTAATTTTAAAGGTTCTACTACAGTTGTGAGTAGAATTGCACCATCAAAATTTTTTAGGATCTCTTCCACTGTGTTTTCTGTCAACTTCTTCTAACAAAATTCCAGCTAAATTAATGATAGTCATTGCTTAACATCTGTTTAGTAATGTCTGACTTCTCTTAACTATCTGTTTTACCTGGGTTAGAAATTGCACTATCATGGCTAGCATATTCACTCATTTAATTATTTCGAATTCTGGTTGAAGTAATGCTGCTATATCTATTCCTAATAACTTTGTTACTTACTGTCCAATGTTTTTCAGATGTCCAAAATTCTCTTGTTTTAGTGATTTTTTTTTAAGTATTCAGAATTTACTTTTATATATCAAGTGTAGAGAATAGCTGAATTCAAATGCCCTTCAACTGCTGTCAGGAAACAACCTACCCAAAGGGATGCACCTCCTCTGAATCCCACTCAGCAGTGACTTGATTCACCAACACTTCATCCATTTCCCTGCTCCAAGAAGGTTGCCATATTTCACTCCCAAACATAACGCCATAGTTTCTCCTTGCTATTCAGTGCAGTCCTTATAGTTCAGCAAGTTAACTGGCTCCTTTCTTAATCCATACATAACTTATGGGAATAACAATTTATATATATATATATATTCATAATGTCTGGATACTCAAATCAACAGCTGTATTTAGAGTTTTTCCATCCTTACTGCCCGTAACTCTTTTCCATATTACTTTTGCAATCCCCAGTAAATAAAACTGTCTTGATTGTATGACATGCTCTCTTTTTTTTTTAAATTTCCCACATTGAAAACAGATTTTTTTTCTACCTACAACAGATTCAACATCCAACATCAAAGCTCAAAAACCCCAAAGAAATCTGGGAAAAGCATGAGGTTTATGAAAACAATCTAGGCAATTGTGAGGTGATATAGTGGCAACTGAGTTGAAATATCTCATTTATCCTAATTTCCAGATGTTGTGATCTCAAGTATAAAGGTACAGTCACAAGCAGAAAATGGATATTTAAAAACAATAACTAAACTGGGTGAACATGGAGTAATAGTGACAGCAAACACTTCAACACCTTGCTGTCAAGAACAGAGTATTACTTGGAATATCAGAAAACTACCTTCTAATTAATGCTAACTATCTCGATAGGAATAGGTACTTTGTAATACTTTTTCCTAAATATTCATGTATCTCAGCACAAGCATTTAGAAAAACCGCTGAGCTGACTGCCAAGACCATGCTCACTCACCGCAGCTCCTTGTGCTCACTGTACCAGACTAAGATTCAGTCAGAGCAAGTCCTGCCTCCACTTATGTTGAAATAAGTATAATTTTTGTGCTTCGGTCAACTCTCTTGGTTACTCAATACCCAAATTTTGGATGTCTTCCAACCAAGTTTTTTCAGTAGCCAAGCAAGGGCAGTACATGAACACCTGTTCAGTTCATGCATTTCCTTCTCCAGGATCTCCATAGATGGCAGCAAACCTACAGTCCAGGAGGACATGCTATCAACAGGCTGCCCAAAGCTATCAAACAAGTGTCCCCAAAACAAGAGGTAGTACACAGGAACTAAAGCAGAGCCACAGCTTTTTCTTCACCCATTAATAAATGAACCCAGCTACTCATATGTCTGATGCCCAAAACATCACCAAGAAAGACCTACGATGATGCGCTTTCGAAGACCTGCAAACCTATCAGTTTTGGATCAGGTATTGCATAAGCATGCAGGAAAACAACTTCAGAGAAGAAATTTTTATAAATGGATCAACAAACAGTGAAACGAAATGAACTTGGAAAATACGCACAAAGTTTTGGATGTCTCTGGGGTAAAATTTTATTTCAGAGAAAGCAGTATTTTGCAGGCAAAAGTATGGTAAGACTAATTTCCATTTGTGACATCTCTCATCAATTAGAATGTTCCTTCTCAGATAAAACATTAATATAGGCATATGCATGAGGGACAAAATAATTTCGGAAAATTAAATTAATTTGCCCCAAAAGAGTTTGTTACCTTTCCTGACACAGTTTATGTCCCATGGGCCTCAGTGCTATCTGTTTAGCAGCTTCAATACTTCTCTCTTACTCCTGTGCCAGTAAAGCTATCTAATTTATTTAGAATTCTCTAAGTACAGTGTTTTTACTTTTCTGATACCAAGACAAAATTTCTGTTGGTTTTGTTCCTCATTTTTAAACTACAGTCTAAACCAGAAAAATCCCTATGGCTTTGATTTACTCATCTTGTCAGTCAAGGCATCCTGTATAAATGCTGCACAGACTGAGAGTAGGCTGGGAAATAAACTGCATGGTTCAAATCTACTTAAATGATTTAGAGCAAGCACCACAGCAAAGATGTGGGAAAGAGGTTGAAGATCTCCATCCTCGCTTGCATCCTCCCAGAAACGCACTCCAACATATCGCAGAATCTACTGCAGACTGCAATGCAATTACTAGTTGTAATTTCCTCTTTCATATCCACCTACAGATTGCATATGTGAGCTCTCTCATTTCTCTGCAGATGTGTGTGCACAATACACAGATGTGTCTCTGATAACAACCTCAATATACTAGAAAATATGACATTCTCAAGCTGCAGAAAGATGAACAAGTAACCAAAATGAAGCAAATCTTACTGCATTGAACACAGGTAAGTAAACAGACTAGTTATAGAAAACATTCCTGCAGCTGTTATGGTTTTGTAATTACACCTCATTCTTAGTTGAATCAAAGTTAAACGTGATGCTGTTACAGGTAAAGCATCAAACCTGGAAGTGTATCAGGGCTAAACTCTTCCTAGCATTCATGTAATATTTTCGTGGATTTTTTTAGAATCCAAGTACTTTAAGGACTCAAAATTAATTCATTCTTCTGTTCAAGGTATAAGATAACTTTATAACCATGTGCTCTTTTTAATACAATTTAAAAAATTATGATAAAATTCACATCTGTATATAAAAAGTCATACAGAACAAAATAGGAAATAAGAAAAAATAACTAAAAAGAAGAATTTGCTAATGTAAATGTAATCTACCATCAGCTAACAAGTCTCCAAATAGTAACAATGAGATGCTAAAAATGACAGTGAAATAACACAATTTGTCACCCAGAAAACTATAGAGGCCACTAGTAAATTCCATGGTGTGTGATTTTAAGAAGCACAAGTAGTTTGTGCCACTTATTTTAAAATTTATTCTCATTATATCAAAAAAAGAGCAGGACAAGTTGGATGAGGAAGCCAATAGCAAAACCCCTGTCATTTTTGTTCACTCATAAGTACTCCTGATGCATAAGAGATATAACTTTTTGCTTTAGTCTGGAAAGAAGAAAAATTTCCAAGGCAACACAGATTTAGTTGGCTGATATATACTGACATATACTATTGCATCAAAAAAAAATTAAAGCTTTATTATTTATTTTTCCTCTGTAAGAAATAAATTCTGAAGATTGCATTTTCAGGCATTTTTTGGTTTGCTTTGTAAATTAAAATATGAAAAATAAGACCATTCAAAGTTGAGTAACACATAAGGCTATTAAAGAAACTGGAACATACAGAAATATTGTTATTCAAATGTTTCACATTTTACACATATAAAAAAACCAAGGCTAGAACAAAGCTATGTTATATAAAGTGGACACATTTTCAGTGCATACTTTTTCCACTGGTAAGTCTTTGGACACTTGCAACTACAGTATCACCAAACAAACACAGATAAATCCATTTGCACATGGATTAATCTCCAGAACTGTCTTGTGCAAAGTCAAATGCACTCATTGAGACTAAAAAACTAACAGAATAGAAATAAGCTTACTGCCTTGTCCATATTTTCAACTGTCTACAGAGATATATAAAAGTAAATACTAATCTTTATAAATATATACATACTTCATGAATTAATAATTTCTTCTAGGTGTTCTCTTGATTACCAAAATACCTGTTGAACATGTGCTGGACAGATAAATATTGATGGATCTGTTTCATTAGCAATCAGATGCATCATAACCTCAGCAAAGCAAATCAGGACTCCTACACAAATAATTTCCATAGTGATGCACTTTGAATAAGGTGCTGATGTTTGATTTTGAAAACAAAAGATTTTTCTTTTTACAACATACAGTTTTCAGTGCTAAGATAAATGACAAAACTCCCTTGCCTTTAAGTCATAGTAAGCTAATGCCATTTATATTGTGACTGCAAATTTCAGTGACTGGATGTTTGGGGATATTTACTTCCTTTTGCATGCCATTTAGAAGAGTTGGCACCAGTTTCAGTTTATCAGTAATTCTTCTGATTTCACTACTTTATCAAGTTTTTCTTTTAAGGTTAATGCATTTTATTTAGTATGAAACTCCGCTGTTTTCTAACAGTGCTACTGTTAAGAAGAATGATCAGAAAATATAGATAGACAAATACCTTGCTTTTTTCTTGTTGAAATTCTATCTGGATGTTGGTTAATTTAGTTCGTAGCTCCTCATTAGCAGCTTGCAGGGCTTCAATCTCCATCTCGGGCTTCTCTCCCTTGGCACGACTTTTCTTTGACATAATTATTTTTGAAGTTTAAAATAAAATTTTTGCTCCACACTGAGCTACCAGCTAGTGCCTTCTGCTTTTAGCATTTAAGAGACAGGTAGTGTTCAACAAAATCTTTCCCACAAACCTCTGCCATCACGGGAGCAGTCTCTCATGTCCTGGAAGAAACAAAGTAGTGGGAACAGAATTAGGCTACAGCACTGAGCAGAATTAAACATCAGACTTAATATTCAGGTTTTAAAGCACACTGAACTTCCTTGTATTATATACTATATTGCATAGTGCACTAGAGTTTGAAAGAAACAGATAAGAAGTTACACAATATTTCACCATCTCTAAACCCAATTCACTGTATTCTGATGTCCACAGAAATAAAATTCTTTACATTTATGATAAATACAGTGTATAAATAAAAATCATATCTTATTCAAGGTCTGACTAGAACCATACTCAGGACTCCCAAGAGGCACATAAAAAACCATAAGTTAACTGAGGTTAGTGTTTCAGTGGGAATAGTTTGTTTCCAGTAGTAAGAAGAGAGTATTTCTCACCCTTATATATCAGTTATAATGCATAATTGTATTATGCAAGTCTCACAGCATCAGCATCTATGAAAAAGGTATCACAAAATGAGAAAATAATTTTAGAAATGTTTCTTAAAATATCATATATGTAAAGTGCTTATGTTCAGGGCTGATACTGTTTGAAAAGTTATAATCAAGACGCAAAAGTATGTAACTTCATTTTAATTTCTCAGCATGCTCTAAGCTTAAAAAGTATTCAATTATTTAAATCAGCTTTATGTAATATTCAAGGAGAATATCAATAGCAGACAAAGAACCCTAATTCCAATAATTAGGAAATCACATGATTAGTTTGCTTCATAAGTAGTTACAGAAGCTTAATCTGTGACTTTTTTTCCTCTCTGCTCTCATCTAAGAATAACCTGGTGCTCTACAAGAACAAACTGAGGAACAAATGCTATCAATGCTGAATTAGTTTCCAAACCCACGTCCTCTGCTCATTCTAAATATCCACATAATTTCATCATTAAATTGTCGACAAAGCAGAAGGCTTCCTACTTTAATACTAAACAACATTCCTGGAGTATTATATTTCAAAAAAAATTGCTATCAAATTGTCTTCAAATAATAAGTCGTTCTTTCCAATCTACTTCTGCCTGGAAGTTATTTTATAAATTGTATTAGAATGAAAATCCCATGCATTCCTTGGCACATGCTTTCTAAAGGGTTGTGTACAGACAAACAAAAAACATTAAGTTTTATTCTCCTCTTCAAGGACTAGTAAACAGGTGGTGAGTTAAATATCTTGCCCAAAATGACAAGTCAAATCACATGAAAAGTGAACAGAACTCAGGACAAAAAGTCTCAATCTGTTTTACAATATTCCCTTCGAGTTCTTTCCTTCATAAAAAGCTATTGAAAAAAGACTAATTTTACCAATTATTTGCTAAAGTAATTTAAATGAAGTAGTTGTTTTGCTCTGTAATATCAGATGTATTTCCTTTGAAATATAATAATCGATCAGTTTATCCTATTCAATAAAATTTAATCTGTTCCTTATATTCTTTATATTTAGCATTTTTAATAATTTATGAAAAAACAGGAAACAGAAATGCATTTTAACTTTATTTACATATCAGACCTACCTTACAAAACAAATAAACACTGGTGCTATCGTGATATTACATATAATAGTTTATTCAAGAAAAATAAATCAGTAATATTCTTACACTAACTTAAAACAAGGAACTCTTCAGTGAGTAGAAGAAATGTGAAGAATTGTTGTTCTTAAGAAAGAAATTTCATGCTACTAATCTATGGAGTTTCTATGATGCTAAAGGTTAAAACTAAGCACTATTAAACAAGTATATTTCATCTAAAATCCTTAACTGTATGAAAAATTTGGATTAAAAATCAGTTGCTTGTGTTATTTCCCTGGACAATTTGTAAAGAAAATCTAAAATAACATAGATATGCAAATCCAACCTATAATAATTCCACAGTATTTACAATCGTGCAAAGGGAAATAAGTTGTTCCTTATCTCAAAGGGTATCTGGGGTATTTAGATTCTATCAAGGAATTAATCCTGAAATCTTTACACAAAATTCCTGATGCAGTCAAATTATATATTATTTAATTCAGTAGATTATTAATTTAGTTAAGGAAACCAAAACCGTACCTCACTGGCCTGGTTGCATGATTTTTAACCTCATTAGATCCCCCCAATCCCCTTTCCAACTACAGTTTGGAAAATACATTTAAGTGTTTGCTTCTCCATCAGTAAAATAAGGAAAGTGAAGTAACTGCTCTGTGTGGATATACACAACATCCAGAGAACAGAAAAAGAGATTTGAAATGTGGAGTATTTTAAAATTGCCACATATATTTTGCTCAGTAATAACAACCTCTCCTGACCATACCATGTTCCCAAGCATATTATGAATATACTAAGTAATTTAATATGAACATTAAAACTTATAATTATATACAGGAGAAGATGGCCTGTCACTGAAGTCCTGGTCAGGCATAACTCTCAATGTCTGCAGAGTTTATATTCTATCAGAGTCATCATCACTCAGAGCCGTTAATAAATAAGGTCTTACAATCAGGTACCAGGATCATACTGTTGTCTGCTTTTGAAAATGTGCAGGTCTAAATATAATATGCATTATTTAAAGCAGTTCAAATTACATTTAACACTTAAATTAGCCTTAAAAATAAACAACTCAGCGCTACACTTTGAAGTACTCTTTAGAATTTAAAAAATTCTCAAAGCATTGTTCTCAATCTTTTTCCTATAACTCACAACAGTTGAAAATTGTATCTTTCAAGTAAAATAAAAACACAGACACAGAATCTGAAGAAAATCACCCGCTTCTCTTATGGACATGAAAGGGCGGGAGGAGATCAAACCCTTCACCTCCAAACCTAACTAAACATAACAAGCCCCCAAAACTACAAAACAAAACAAAAAGAAGGAACAAAAAACACCCACGAAAAATGAAACACCAACAAAATAAACAAACAAAAAACACCAAATAATAAAAAACAAACAAACAAGAAACTCCCACCACCATCACCATCAAGCTGCATTGGTGGGCATAGAAAACTTTCTCCCTTTTTAATCTTCCCTAGATACATCTTCAAGCCCTACCTATTTCAAAAGCAGGAACTAGGGCAATGCGAAGCCTCTCTGTATACACAGAGAGGTACATACCCCAGGCACACCAGGGCTACAGCAGAAGAGGGTAGATCTCCATTCCCAAATGAAAGGGTTAGAACCAGTGAGTGCATACATTCCCTGCTAGTTGAGTACCCACACTTAATGTTCGGATAAAGGTTAGGATAAACAAACCCTACCAGGCAGCTTATAAACACAGGGTGAAAAATAGAAGGAAAAATATTCTACTCTAACAAAATATTAGTTTACTGACGTAGAAGCTGCAACCAACAACCTATTTATTAACTCACCATATGTCAATTGAGAGGCAGACTCATGACGCCACTATGATACAGTCCTACAATCACTCATGAATAAAAATAGCAACTTCCTGCACTGTGAGTTCTACACACTTCTTGCAAACCGTAGGATCATTTGAATGTATTTTATATCCAACCAAAAAAAAAAGGATAGGAAGAGTAATGGATTCTCAATTTACTGTATTATGTCAACCAAAATTCAGCATTCCAGTCTTAATTCAGATCTGAACAACATTATTCAGCTGCAACATAATTTTTGGAAGGTGAAGTTGTGAATGAGTCATCTCAGCTGAAACACCAAGCCATAACTCAGGTACTGGAGAGAAATAAAAAGCTTCTTCATCTAGACACTTCACTTCCACATAAATAGTGGGTTTTCCATTTTACTTCAACCTTTCTCTTATAATACTGCAGAGCATACTATAGGCTACCTATAACTCTTACTTTGCTTGTGAATATGACATTTAAGTACATTCTTAGTATAGCACAACTCTGAATATTCAAGAAATTCAAAACAGATTTTATAATCCTAGAACCCGACAATAGTAAGTGCAGTGGACACAGGTACAATGTTAACTTCAGAAGTAACTGCCAGTTTCACCGATGTTATAGTTTCAAAAAACAGTGATAATCAAGCAGTGACTGTATGGGAAAAGACAACGTTCAGAGCTGCTGATGCCCAAGGCACATTTCTCACAAGGTTCAGATGACCTACATTTACTGCTTCAATTCTCAGTTCTATGTAACAAAACATGACTGAATTGATAAAAGCAAAAGCACCTCTACAGTATTGTAAAATAATACTCTTCCCAGCCAAAAAAATGTGAATACAAATTATAAGAATAATTTTCTAAGTATATTGTAGATTAGTCACATTTTAAATACCCATTTGTTAGCTACCTACAGAGATAGATCTATTTCTGTAACAGTAGAACCTTTGAAGGTTATTTTAAATCTTATCCCACTTAGGGAAATACAGAGTTTCCTTACTGTGAAACACTTCTGTAAGTATCACTTGTGATTTTTTGGCAGATAAAACCAAAAACATCTTTATTGTTAACTGACAGCTCCCCATTCCTTTTTGCAGATTCACAGCCTACAGTCCTGAGTCATTTTTGCATCAATAACAATACACCTATATAGCCATACTCTATGGAAAGCAATCACTAAGAAACTCTAAGCAGTTTTGCATTGTTTTTTTCCAAAAAAAAAAGAGCTCACAGTAATGCAATCCTGCTGATATCAAACTCATTTAGACCCTATGCACACACTCAACTGTATTTGTACCTACTACTAACAACCACATAACACTGAATTATTGTTTTTGATTGGTACTACTGCGTAACACTGGATAGCATCCAGTACATTAATGGCTTCATTCTAATGGAAGACATAAGCATCCTACAAAAAAACACCCAAACAAATCTAGTTCTTCATTTACAAGGAATTTTCACAAGTAAAAGGGAATGTCTAAGCTGAAGAGGACAAGGTAGGAGGAAGGCAAGGAATCCTGCACCCCCATTCTGCACTACATAACACTTCAATACACTAGTAGTTACTGAAAACTTAACCTGGATCACTTCTCAAAAATTTATGAGCTTGATGCCCTGACTTTAAAGTAAATAAAAGTATTCATTGTCTTCAATGAATATAC